AAGGATAATCTTGCCAGGTACAGTATTCTTGGTTAAAATTGCTTTTATCTTAACACTTTGAATATATTTTCCCATTCTTTCCTTGCTCGCATTGTTTCTGATGAGAGGTCTGCTGTTAGCCTGATAGGATATCCTTTGTAGGTAACTTGCCATTTCTCTCTTGCCAATCTCAGTATCTTGTCTTTGTCTGTGGTTTTGGTCAATCTGGCTAAAATGTTTTTTAGAGAAGATCTTCTTGGGTTGATTCTATTTGGGGTCCTCTGTATTTCTTGGGACTGGATCTTTGAGTGTCTCTCTAGGTTTGGAAAGTTTTCTTGCAGGATTTCATGGAATAGATTATCAATGCCCTTATGAATCTCTTCGCCTTCTGGAATGCCAATTATCACGATGTTTGGACATTTGATGGTATCTAGTATTTCTCATATTATTCTCAAATTTCTGGGCAATTTACATAGAACTTCCCTTTCCTTGAGATGTAGAATAAGCATTTCTTTAGGAATCTCTTCCCAGGACACAGATCTTACCTTCCAATCACCTACCTAGGAATTGTGAAACCCACCTGTAACTTACAAGCCCCCCTCCACCCTGCTTCCACATGTTCCGCCTCTTTGGGCCAGACCAATGGATATCTCTTAACTAATTTTGTCTGTCAATCTCAAAATCAAATAAAAGAAACTCCTGTATGTAATCACCCTGAGAAAGGTATGTATGCCTCCTCTCCAGGCCTAGGTCACTCATATTCTGTGGCGAGCAGCCAATCTGAAAACATGGGATTAAAACATGTGGCCTGTAGACACATGCAGATATGCGCTTCCATAAGCTATTCTAGCAGGGCTATTGAGGAGCATCTACATACGAAAGCAGTATCTGCCTGTTGTCAATGGTTGTCTTTCTGTTGTTGTTGATACCCAATACCCCGTATCAGATTAAAGGAAGTTACATGCACTTATTAGACTGTCCCCCAAAAAAGGTCAGAGAAATTATATGGCATCGGTCATTTTCACATCTTCAAAAGATTTACATCAAAAAAAGGTCAGAGAAATTATATGGCATCGGTCATTTTCACATCTTCGAAAGATTTACATCAAAACTGGCTTTGCATTCTGATTTCTCCTCCCTTATTCTCTTTGCATTCCACTTCCTTCTTTCCCATTCCTTTTGCATCTCATTTCCCCCTTTCCCCATTCTCTGCCCTTTAAAAGAATAAACCTGAGGTGGGTTCTGGTCGCAACTTCTCCATCAGAGAAGCTGTGCCCACCTGATCCTCGCTTTTCTATACCTGTGTGTCTTTGTGTGTTTGTTATTGCGTCTATTTCTAATCCACAGCCTTCCCCACTCAGAGAAACGTGTTCATGCTGAGCTAGTCTCGGCAATATTCTGCTTGGAAATAAACCACATTAATTATTAATTATTAATTTTTAGAGTTGGTTATTTTCCATTGACAAAGGGCAAGGGATAAAGCACCAAGTGCATGGGTAGCTCATTTCCTGCAGAATAGTGTTTTTCAACTTGACTCATGATCATGGCACTTATAATTTGACTATCTGTAAGAAAGTTACAAAAATATAGCATAAGAATAGGTCATTCATTTGGAAACGTACTATTTTCTGAAAAGCTTTCACTTTCTTTTCTTGCCTGTTCTAAGAAGAGAGGTTTGAAGTGGTTATTTTCCAATAGAAATGAACATAAAAACAACATAAATGACATGAAAGTAAAATGAAATAACAATGTAAAATTTTCATTCTAATTTAATCAAATAATTTTTATTTGAGACTTTGGGAGGAAAGGCTTTCATCTGTGGTGTTGACATGATGACAGAGGACCCCCCCAAGATCTTCGGCTTTCCACTAGTGAGTCCAGTCTGCTGAGGCACACGTGTTGATGTGCACAGCAAGCAAAGATCGAAAACAACCATGACAACTGGCTCAGACGACAGATCTGCAAGATGAATGCTCATGATTCTTCACACACTGAACAAACTTGGCAGGTCTATGAAAAGAAAGCAAAAGAGGACATCAAGATGCAGTATGGGGATCAACAGATGCCATGATGGTTTTGTTGCTGGACTCCCACATAGTCAACCACTGTTTGAATCCCAAACCCAGAGGCTTAAAATTCCCACTGGGTGCAAGGGCAATGTGTGCCCAAAATCCTAAGAGGAGAATGGAGAAGAAGAGGGAAAAAAAAATGCAGTATGAAACATCTGTGGTTCAGTTCATTAATGAAAGAAGCCCCCTTATTAGCAACAAAAGCATGCAAAGACCACCTAGCTTCCCCACAAGCTCTCCTGCAATAACATCACTGGAAAAAGCCTAATCCAGGAGGAAATGGCAAAGTATGGCCCATTTTAGTTTCATTTCACTCATATAGCTATAGAATAAATGCTGAGGAAATGTGTTTGATGGTACCATGTGGAGGTACTGTGTTCACAGATGTGCGCTACTGACTCAGGAATTAGACCCAGTGAGTTGGTAAATAGGGCAGGGAACTCCCAAGGAAGAGTCTCTATGATAGGAAATGAACACACAGAGACATTAAGGAAGAGCCAACCTTTTTCTTTTAGAAAGAGATTTTGGCTATAAGGTGCATACACTCACCACAAAATACAGAAAGGAAGAAATCATCCCCCAGGAGGGATGGCCACTCCTCAATCCCTTCTCCTCCATTCTCCTCTCAGGATTTGGGGCATGCACACACATGCACCTGGTGTGAGTTATTAAGCTGCCAGGTCCAAGACTCGAACCATGGTTGACTATGTGGGAATCTAGCAACATAATCATTACGCCATCTGCTGGTCCCAAATAGAGCCAACTTTTAAAATGGATTCCTTCTGGTTAAGCTTTTGAGAAGGGTTGTTCACTGCTCTCACTAAAAATCAAGTATTAGCTCTGACTGCTTGCTCACACAGAGTTTCTTAAAACCGGAGTTGTTTTGCAGCTTGCTTGGTAGTCAGTCTATCAGGAAATGCAACCAGATCCTTTTTGAAGATTCCTTCTTCCCATCCCTCCCACCTGGATTTTGGCACCAGGAAGGTTGTTATCTTCCTTCCTGCCACCCCAAATGTACACACAAAATTCACCACTGGGATGGGACACTAAGTCAACATCCAGGCAATGAATCCAGATATGGACACTTATGCCTTCAAAGACCACCCTAGGCATGTGTGATTAGATAAATTCCTTACCTGAGATAGAGATGCACAAGTTCAGGGAAAAGCCAGTGAAACCTAAGAGCCCAGGTACTGTGACAGACAGTCAGTCCCCTGCTAAATATTCATTACCAACCCCCAGGGTAAAAGTAACACCTAACCTCATGCCCAAGGCAGTTGTCCTTCTCTAGCAGCTGCCCACCCACATGCCTTTCAGGCATGGAGGTGTATTTTCTTCCTGTTAAAAATCTTTACTTCTCTATTAAAATTTCCTTTTTCCTACTTTACATGTGCTTGTGGTTTTTCATTCTGTGTCTCAGGACAGGTCTCTAATCTTGGAGATCCGAACCTAAAGAACCTAGGTTTACACAATGCAGCTCAACTCCCCCATCCTATAACAGCACTCCCTACAAGCTCCTTTTGAGCAACACTAAGCTTGTCAACAAGCTGACATTTCTCCTCAATATGATAACCAGTCTTTCTGAACACTGATTTGTTCCTCTCCCATAAAGTCAACCTCTCAGAGCCTGAGCAAGCCTAAATAAAAGAAAGAAGCCTGAACAAAGCCCCTCTGACACAGATTATAAACCCCTCACCTCATGGGGCTGACAAGTGGTGTGGTGGTTAAGGGTGCTGGACTCCCACATGGCCAGCCAAGGTTCAAGTCCTGGACGGGGTGGCTTGCTTTCTCATTTTCCTCCTCTCTTTCTCTTTCTCTCTCTCTGTCCCTCTCTGGTCAAATATAAATAAATAAATAAATAGTTAAATAAAATAATTCTTTTTTTTTAAAAAAAAGCCTTCACCTCAGTTTTTTATTGGCAACCCATTTTTCAGGACCTATTCCCTGCCTGGGAGATCTGATCTTCTTTCCCTCTCTTAATACACTCTCCACTTAACTATTTCTTCTGTGTCACATCTTTAATTCTTCATAAGCATGTGACAAAGAATCAGGCTCACTGCCATTACTGCACCAGATGTTGGGCCCACACACTCCAACCACTTGCATCATAATTTTCCTACATCACTATCAATGTCAGTTAATTATTGAGAAAGAACAAAAGGAAACACTGGGGCCAGGGACCCCCATAGCTTCTGTGGATGATTTGCTTTCCTCTCCTTAGAAGCTTCCTGGGGGAGTGTTGGACCAAAAGGTCAGAGGCAGCATTGGGACTATAGACCCTCTGGAAGAAGGCTGGTGGCCATCAGCATCTCCACACAGAATACACCTGAGATAAGCAAGCATCTAAGAGAAGAATGACTTCCACCTTCAAAAGAAAGAAATAACAAAGTAATAGGGTCCAATGGGAATGGCTGACACATGACTGGAGCGGAGCAGAAAACAGTTCACTTTGTGGCTAAATCTTATTTTGCTAAATGCAAGTTAAGGAAGAGAGAGATAGAGAGACCCTTAGAAGAAGCTTCTGATACCCCAAGTCTTCTAGAGAGGAGAGGTACCAGAACCTGCCAGTGATGGGTAACGGAGAGCAGTCAATCTGAAAATGTGGTTAAAACATGTGCCTGTAGACACATGCAGATATGCGCTTCCATAAGCTATTCTAGCGGGGCTATGAGAAGCATCTGCATACGAAGGCAGTACCTGCCTGTTGCCAATGGCTGTCTTCTTGTTGTTCTTGATACCTAATAAATGATACTGCCCACTATGGAGCTAAAGGAAGTGACAAGTGTTTATCAGATTGTCCCCCAAAAGGATCTGAGAAATTATATGTCCAGTCAGTTTCACATCTTCAGTAGATTTACATCCAAAAACAACTGGCTTTACATTCTAATTTCTCCTCCCTTATTCTCTTTGCATTCCACTTCTTTCTTTCCCATTCCTTTTGCATCCCATTTCCCCCTTGCCCCATTCTCTGCCCTTTAAAAGAATAAACCTGAGGCTGGTTCTGGTCGCAATTTCTCCATCAGAGAAGCTGTGCCCACCCGATCCTCGCTTTTCTATACCTGTGTGTCTTTGTGTGTTTGTTATTGCGTCTATTTCTAATCCACAGCCTTCCTCA